ATCTCTTCATTCTGGTAAGTAATGATTTAAAATTCCAATCATCCTTATAGGAAAACTTCTAAAGGTGTTTAAAGCATTAGGGTCTACATTAACCAACTAATATGTGAGGTGCCAAGATTTCAAATACAAACAGGAAAATTTTGTCTTTATGGAGATTAATCTAGAAGCATAGACATGTCAATGAATAATTTCCATGTGACAGTGATGTAACATTTGTACAGGGTAATAGTACTGTGGTTTACACATGATACAACATCAAGAGAAGGCTTTAGAGATAAAGTGATATTTTAGTTGATTTAGTAGGCATTCAAAGTGGTAACAATTATTTTCAAGTAAAAAAGAGTGCAACTGGAAAAGTTTTTAAAAATGGATATATGTGGCATATTGATGGAAGGGTACAAGAATCTAGGTATGATGCAAGAAGAATATGGAAATTAGAAGGAAAATTATCTAAAATTTTAACAACATAATGAGACACATGATTTTAAGCAGAAAATTAGCTGATCATTTTATGGTTAACAAAGAAAATGCTTATTATATAGTAAAAATAGTTAAAGTTTATTGAAACAGATGAGGGGAGATATGATGATCAGAGATTCATAATAATTTTTGCATCACAGACTATTTGGACAGTTGAGGAAAACCTAGACTCCTTCTCAGAATACTTACAAATACTTACACTCCAGAAGGAAGTAAACTAAGTTAAAATACAGTTATAAAATATGGTGGTGCACACCTGCAATCTCATTGACTCAGGAGGCTGAGGCAGGAAGATTGCTAGTTTGAGGTCAGCCTCAGCAACCTGAGACCCAAATATAGTAAAATTAAAAGGGCTGGGGGGTGTAGCTCTGAGGTAGAGCACCTCTGGGTTCATCTCTCCCAGCAAAAACAGTTATAAATATAATAAAAATAATGTGGTATTATAGTGATATATGTAATAAATTCACATTAAAATAAGTAAAATTATTATGTATCATACATAATAATTTCAAAACAGCAATGAACATAAATAACAATCTGAAGATACATTCAATAGTTAGAGATACATATTTTAAGCTGGGCACAATGGTGCAAGCCTATGATCCCAGCAGCTTGGGATCAAGGCAGGAGAGTCCTAAGTTCGAGGGCAGCTTCAGTTCTGGTTTCTGCCAAAACACAGTCTTACCATGTCTCAAAATAAAAATCTTTTAAAACAACTGGGGAGATAGCTCAATGGTAGAACACCCATAGTTCATTCCTGGATACTATTTAAAAAGAGATATAATTCATATATAATGTGATATGAAAACATATGTGTTTTTTATTGGCAACATGTCATAAGTACTACTAATATAATTGTCATGTGTTTTCTATATTCATAATGAAAGTAAATGTGTACTTTTGGTAAAGGAATAAGGAATATAAAGACATAAGTTTTTTACTATCCTCTTTATGAATCTCAATTTAAAAACTCCTCATCTAGACTAAGGTCCAGGCAAGAAGACAGGAAACGAAAGAGATATTTAGAATATATTTCAAATAAATAAACATCCTCTGGAAAGTTTTTTTTTTATAGCAAATAGATAAAATAATCCTAACCTAAACTGGATTGACTCCAAAAAGTAAAAAGGAAATACCCCTATATCAACTGTTATTTAACAGTTTCCTTTACTTTGCTAAAAAGAGCACAGACAAACAACAGTAATACCGCCAAACCATGATTCATTTTCAAGAAGAATCCCTCCCTGATCAAAGGTTTACATTGTTTTTTACCAGCATCAGATTGCTTACCCACACAAACTTTAAATATATCATTTTTAGAACTAACCAACAACAAGGCCCATTTTGTTTTGACATGTAAGATACAAAAAAGAAAATGAAGAAAAATGACGATCATTTTATGTCTATGCTTACAAAATGAGAAAATCTAGAAAGAGTGATGGAGAAATTCTGAGATAATAACATTTTAATATTTGTGTTATCAGAAGGAAAATACCTGCTGAAATTCCCTGCTTTCAGAAGGAAATCTTAAGTATTGTCAATGTTGAATCGTCTTTCAGCAATTTCTATAAAACTATTCGGAGAGCTATGAAAGCAATAAAGCTGAGAGAAAATAGTATATTTCAATGAAGAAATTGAGTATTAGCCTTCAACTACTGACTCTCTACAAATGACAAAGTCCTTCTTTGGTATTTCCCAACCTTCAACAAATATATACTATAAGGTATCTGTTCACAGTCATTTAATATGTCTTTTCTCCTGGAGTAGAAGATACATGAGGACAAGGACATCACTAAATTTTGTACATGTTATCCCCAAAGCCCAGCCCAGAACCTGTTAAGTGGTTTGCTTAACTAAGAATGAAGAATACGGGGGCTGGGGCTCAGTGGTAGAGCACTTGGCTAGCATGTGTGAGGCAATGAGTACAATCCTCAGCATCACATAAAAATAAATAAATCAAATAAAGGTATTGTGTCTATCTACAATAGGAAAAAAAGGATGGAAGAATAGGCAGAAAAACGTGCAAAGGAAAGTTTTCTAAAGATGTATAAATGTAAAGACTGCAAATCAGTCATGAATTATCAACTAATACACCTGCACTTCTTCCTACTGATCTAGCTACCACCCATGCACATTGACTCTCTTACAAAAAAAAAACATTTCTTGAAATTTGTCAACAAAATATTCAAAACAAAAAAGTTCTCAGAGGATCTATACTACACAACTAAACATATAACAAAAAATTTACAAAAAATAGGTCTGAAGTAAAATTTCTCGCAAATGGCTAAAAATATCAATATCTCATATATTTCTAAATTTTATACATTAAAAATTCTAAAAACATTTTAAAATGAATGTTTTTTATCCAGGACTGATTCTAAAAACCTTCAATTTACAAAACTCTCAAACTTGAAGGTTACTAGTTAAGTGAAATACAAGTGTTTAACAACTGTTCTTATAAAAATAATAATGCCAAAGCACAGAGGAGAATATAGACCACAGAAGTCACACTTTTTGAGTTACAACAGTTCTTTCAGATACCATTTACCTCTTTTTCATCTATATTATAAGTTTCTATAGAAATATATACATATATCAAGAATTGATCAGTTATTACAAAAGAGCATATAAGTTAAATAAAATAAGGAAAGGTATAAATACCCAAGAAGAATTGCCAAGAAATACTTGAACAAATACATGTACCCAAGAAGTACTTGAACAAATACATGTACACACATATTCCTAACAGCACTATTCATATTAGTCAAAAGGTCAAAACAACCAGAATGGCCATGCAATGATGAATGGATAAACTGGCTTATATCCATAAAAAGGAATATAATTCAACCATAAAAATCAATGAAGTATTGATATACATTACAATGAGCATAAACCTCAAAAACATTAAATTGAAGAGCTACTAACAAAAAGTCATATAGTATATAATTAAATATATTTGAAATATACAGAACAGATAAATCCACAGAGTAGAGGTTGCTTGATGTTTGGGGTAAAGAAAATGGTGAGAAACAGCTTAAAGAATATGTAATTTCCTGTTGGCATAAGCAAATGTTTGGAACAAGAAAGAAGTGATAGTTGCACAACACTGTGCATGTAAGAATGCCACACTTAATTGGTTAATTTTTTGTTATGCAAATTTCAGACTGATTAAAAATAATTATTTCTGTGTTAACCATAATCTTTCTCTATAAAATACCTCAATATTGCAAAGCAAAAATGGTTATCTCTCAAGAAGAATACATAATGCTCCCAAAACAGAGTAACCTAATGTTAACATCTTCATTCATTCTGCTGGGAATTAAATGGTCCAATCATTGGTGTTAACTACCAAGGCTAAGTTAACACACACTATGACTCAAAATTCACACTCCAAAATGAGTTCACATTTATACAAAGAAGCAGTAGAAAAATTGTCACTGCATCATTAGAATTAATAACTCAAAGCCAGAAACCACACAACTGTATATCAAGAATATTAGAAAAGATAAATAAATAGAAGCATGTTTGCCCAATGGAATAAGTAAGCATTTTTGAAGCATTACCTCTAAAACAAAGGCAGGTCACAGATACCTAAAGAGGTTTTCTACATTTGCTAATTCTCCACTATACAGAACAACTGTAAAAATAAACAATGGAAACAAATGAACTAAATCTACCTGCAAAATGAATGAACTTCACAAAAACAATGCTAAAAAAATATAACAGAATAAATGTATTCTATATAATTCCATTTATATATAATGGGGAAAAACATGTTTAAGGATACTTTCTTGGGAGTAAAACTGTTTTTAAATATAAGTGGGGTTAGACTTGCCTGGCATGTAAGACCTAGGGTTCTATTCCCAGTACTGTAAAAAATAAAATGTAAAGAAGCAAATATCATAAAAGTCAGAATTCTGCTTTAATGTTAAAGAGTGGAGGAGAAAAGGGGGATCTTGGTAATGTGCTCTTTATTGATTGGAATGATGGTTACATAACTATTTGCCCTAAGATAAATAATGGCAATACACCTTTTTTGTTTGTTTGTTTTCCTATAACACACTAGTATAAATTCCACAGAGATGTATTTTAAAATAAAATGAAAATGTTGCTCTATATCAAGTATACATGAATCATGACCATTCCTCTGCAACAATGAATATTTCTCAATGAACTATAGTACTAGCCCATTATAGACAGAATGTTCTGAAAGAGATATATGAAAATGGGATTTAGTTCTCTAAAGCTATGAACACAAATTCAAAAATTTTTATTCTATTAATAGCAATTATCCCTTATACTGAAAAAATTAGGAAGTTAAAATAGCATGGTAAAGATCATTATTGTATTGGTTCAATTTTTTAAATGATTTAATAAATAAGAATGCCTTCAATGAGATTAAGATCTTTTTATTACAGGATTGGTGATGAAAATATTTATTTTAGCCTAGATTTCAAAAACTGAGGACACATTGAAGGAAGACTAAAGGGAAAAGTGAAGAGAGAGAAAATTAAGTTTACCATGCAGGGGTGAGCCAGAAGGGCTGCTTGATAGGCCTGGAACAGGACTACAGCGGCCTCCTTGCTTTGACGTCAGTTCTTGTTCAATTTCTTCCAGTCCAGCACTTTTCTGGAAACGGCTCATGCGATTAACTACTCGTGGTGACATATGTGTACGAACACAAGGCTGGCCACCATAAGGGTTGATGGGGAAAACATGAGAAGTACCCCGGAGGGTACTGACCACAACCCAACGACAGTCATGGCTGAAGCAGATGTCCTGTACCTAGAAATAAAGAAAGATACAAAAAGAGCTGAAATTATTTGAATATACCCTCAGAGCATCATTTGTCACCAAATCTGAACAGAAATGGGTGCATCATTACTGAATTTACCTAAGAACAGTTTTTAAGTAAAGAATTTTTATTTTACAGATGAGAGTTTCATAATGATGTTGATCAAAATTCCATTTTGACAAATGGTGCTAGGAAAACTGGTTATCCACACATAAAAGGATAAGACTAGGCCCTTACCTCTCACCCTGCACAAAGATCAACTCAAAATGGATCAAAGACCTAGGAATTAGAACAAAACCTATACAACTCCTAGAAGAAAACTTAAGGTCAACACCCTAGCACATAGGCATAGGAAACAACTTTCTCAATAGGACTCCTAAAGCTTAGGAAATACTGCCAAGAGTTTATAAATGGGATGGCATCAAATTAAAATGCTTCTGCACACAAAGAAAAAAAATTTTAAATGTGAAGAAAGAACCAACAAAATGGGCAAAATATCTTAGCTAGCTACTCTTCTTACACAGGGTTAATATCTAGAATATAGAAAGAACTCAAAAAACTTAACACCAACAAAAATACAAATAATTCAATTAATAAATGGGAAAATGAACCAAATAGGCACATCTAAAATGGAGAAAGACAAATGGTCAACCAACAAATATATTAAAAAAAAAAAGATCAACTTCATTAGCAGTTAGGGAAATGCAAATCAAAACCTCACTGAGACTTCATCACACATCAAAATGAAAGTCATCAAGTATTCAAACAATAATAAACACTCTTGGTGGAACTATACAACCACTATGGAAGTCAGTATGGAGGTCCTCAAAAGACTAGCCATGGAACCACCATATGATCCAGTTATACCACTCCTCGGTATTTATTCTAAGAATTAAAGTCATTGTACTATAGCAATACATGCATACCCATGTTTACAGCAGCACAATTCACAACAGCCAAACTATGGAACCAGTCTAGGTATTCATCAACAGATGAATGGATAAAGAAAATGTGGTGGGCTGGGGCTGGGGCTCAGTGGTAGAGCGCTTGCCTTGCACATGTGAGGCACTGGGTTCGATGCTCAGCACCACATATAAATAAATAAAGGTATTGTGTCTGTCTACAACTAAAAATTTTTAAAACTGTGGTATATATAGATAGTTTACTTTTATTCAGCCATAAAGAAAAATGAAGTAATGTCATTTGCAGGAAAATGGATGGAACTTGAGATCATTATGTTAAACGAAATATGCCAAACTCAGAAGCCAAGGGTCCTGTGTTTTCTCTCATATATGGAAGTTAGGGAGGAAAAAGGAAAAGAAAGGTGGGGGTGGAAGGGAATTTCATGAAAACTGAAAAGAGATCAGTAGAATAGAAGAAACAGACCAAGGAGAGGGAGGAGGAGAGGAAAAAGGGAAATACTGAGGAGTGATATTGATCAAATTATATTGTTTCCTTGTGTGCATGTATGAATATGTAACAACAAATTCAATCATTATGTACAATTACAACACACCAATAAAAATGAAAAAAAAATAATTTAAAAAATATCAATACATTTTCACATGCTAGAATCAAAAATAAAAAGAAAAACATCTTTAGACTTACTGAGTAATTTAAGCAATAGAATGAACCATGCTATCTAAAACCATTTTCCAAAATACCTATAATCAAGATCATTTCCTGGTCTGTTAATGAAAAGTAATTTCTTTCTTTCATTTTAAGAATACTTGTAATATGAAGTGGAGTTAACAATCAGTATCAAAATAGGGAGATAGAATTCTACCTAATGCTTACTTAGAAAAGTGCTATTAAAGTGATTCTATTCTATGACCCCAAGACATGTAGGCATACATGAATGAACAGAGCTGCTAAAGATATTAGCTGCCAAGTGAACTAGAGAAACTTTAATCCTTTAAATAACATTACAAGTCACCCACCCACAAAATGCAAAATGATATATCTTTTGGTATTATCAACTAGCTGGATGGGTTTCATTCATTAAAAGCAGAGAGAGTGTGTATACGTGTGTGTGTGTGTGTGTGTGTGTGTATGTATATGGGGGGGGTAATGGCAATCTAGTAATAAAATGATGACATCACTGGCATGAGTTTTGTATCTCAATTTTGGAATGCTGTTTTTTTTGTTTTGTTTTGTTTATGTTTTTTAAAATATTTATTTTTTAGTTGTAGTTGAATACAATACCTTTATTTTATTTATTATTTTTATATAGTGTTGAAGAGTGAACCCAGGGCCTCAAGCATATGCTAGGCAAGCGCTCTACCACTGAGCCACAACCCCAGCCCTGGAATGCTGTTTTGAATTAACGTTTTTTCATCATAAAACCTAAAAGCTGGGGCTCGGGTGATGGCTCAGTGGTAGAGCGCTCACCTAGCAAGTATGGGGCCCTGGGTTCGATCCTCAGCACCACATAAAAATAAATAAATAAAGGTATTATGTCCATCTACAACTAAAAAATAAATATTAAAAAAAAAAAAACATAAAAGCTGGGCAGGGAGTGGTGACACATGCCTATACTCCCAGTCACTTGCAAGGCTAAGGCAGGAGTTCCAGGCCAAACTGGACACCTTAGTGAGACCATGTTCAATCCACAGGGCTGCAAAAAATAAAAATATTAAAAAAAGGAAAGCTGAGTGGAATCTGTATCACTGACTTAATTGTACAGTACACATATCCTCACATACAACATTTTTTAAGTACGGATTAGGCAACTGTGATAAACAGAAATTGAACAAGTACAGCCTTAATTTGCTATACAAACTTCCTGTTCTCAAATGTAGGCAACAAATATATTTCAATAATTATTTTTTTTAAAACACTCCCTATTCACAATTCTAACTTGGGTACTAGGAGATTCGGGAAGCAAGGAGTACATGCTCTTAATAAGCCACATTTCAAAATGCTATGAAACTAAATCAGGGAATGATTATGGAGAGAATGTATATATGAAACCAGTGCGGATGTCTTTTAGAACTGGGGTCAACAAACTACTTCGGTAAAGGGATACACAGTAATTTTAGGCTCTACAGGTCAGAAATCAAAATCAAGGGTATTAAGTAGATACTTATAAATATAAGAGAAAAAAATTAATATAAAAATTTATTGATGAGATTCAAAATATAGTAATAATCCACTAGAATTTTTTATAATACAGATCTACTAATGAAAAGAATAAAACTCATCTTTAGGGAAGGTTTTTTTTTTTTTTTTTTTGTACTGGGGCACTTTTTTTTTTTTTTAACACAAGGGCACTTAACCACTGAGCCACATCTCCAGCCCCCTTTTTCTTTTTTCTTTTTTTTTTTTTTTTTAATTTTATTTAGAGACAGGGTCTCACTGAGTTGCTCAGCGCCTTGCTAAGTTGCTGACACTGGCTTTGAACTTGCAATCCTCCTGCCTCAGCCTCCCAAGCCGCTGGGATTACAAGGATGCACCAATACGCATGGCAAAAGGGTAAGATGTTCTCAGGTCAGTAATTAATATTGCTATAGTTTAGAAGACTCAGCAGAGTACAGAGGAATGATTATAGAAAGCCTTATTAGAAGATTTCATACAATATATGAGTTATGAACATAAGACCAATGAGATGAAAGTACTTTGAAAAATTCAATCATAAGAAGATATTTTGTTTTGTTTTCAAGGTGAATATTATTGTACTCAATTCAATAATAATACATGACAATTACAGAAAAATACTTAGTTTAAAAGAACACATACATATAAATCTAACAATCCGGAGGCTAAAATTTCTTCATCTTGGAATACAACTTTCTAGTCATCTCTTAATGCATAATTTAATACATAGTTATCCATTTATATATATGATATGTGTATGTATACAAAAGTCTACATGATTAGATTAAATGTGGCCAATTTTAAACACATAGCAATCTATAAATTTTAATAAGATTGTGAAAATAGAGGGAAACAGTGCTAAAAGTATAAAGCCCTATATATTATTATAGGCTTTACCTAAAGGTGGTATATTATGGTAAATATACCTATTCTTAAGTAGCTATATGGCCATGAGAAAGCTAATTAATAAGCTAGTTCTGCACCCTGAGGTTCTTAATGTACAGAATAAGTGATAATCTCATAGCAGTTAGTATGAACTAATTAATATAGAGAGCACTTAAAACAATACCTAGTATTGAATAAGCCCTGTACAATTAAATTCAATCACATTACCATAAAAAATATATTCCAGTTCTGTCCAAACACCTATCTCTGTTTTCACTGCTACTAATGTGGACTAAGCCACTCTCCTTTGTCTACTAGGTTACTATATTAGCCTCTTACCTGGACTCTTAATTGAAACCACCTGAAAGCAACACAAGACAAAGTAGATAAATTATACTTCTTCAACATTAAAACCTGCTGCACATCAAAGGATATTACTAAGAAAGCAAAAAAGACAAACCACAAAATGGGAGAAAATATTTGAAAAAAATACATCTGGTAAAGATCTCATATCTAAAATATATAAATAACTTACAAATCAACAATATAAAGACACTAAATGAAAATAAACAATGGATTTGAACAGAAATTTATGCAAAGAAAATACACAAATGGCCAACAAACTCATGAAAAGATGCTCAACATCTTTAAGTCACTACAAAAATGCAAATCATACCCACAGCGATAGCTAAAAGATAAAAGACCAGAACAAGTGTTATTGATGTGGTACACACATTAGAACCATCATTCATTTCTGGAAGAAATGTAAATGACACAGCCACCTATAAGGTGTTTCAAAATATTAAACACAGAGTTATCATATACCTCAGAAGTTTTACTCCTAGATGCTCAAAAGAACTGAAATTATACATTCCCACAAAAACCAGTACCCTGATGTTCATAGCAGTATTCCTAAGAGCCACAAAATAAAATTGCTCCAAATGTCCTTTTCCTAATGAATAGATAAATGGAATGCGATATATCCACATAAGTGGACTATTATTCATCC